TTTCTCTTCAAATGGAATTCCCATTTTCGAAAATGTAATCTGAAGCCGAATTACTTTTGCATATAATTCCTTCTAAGCAGCGTGGGTTTATTCGTGATGTTTATCCTTCTTTCCGTTGACATTCTCTCATACTTCTGTGAACTCCTTAATTAGTCTGCTAATTTCTGGCCCAGCCACCATCTAGCAGCTTAACGCAACTGAATATTTAGTTAATCCTATTGCGCCACATGAACCTTGTACAACAGCATTGTTCTGCTCATGGGCTTCATTAATGGCAATGTTCGAAAACTTGCTATCAGTCTTTAATTCTAACAGTAAAGTTTGCTTTATCAAATTCTTCGTATATTTCCGGGTGCTTTGTTTGCAGTGCAAGCAAACCCGAAGGTGAAGTGGTAGCCATCGAGCATAATTAATGTGATCAAGGTCAAAAATCATCTTGTTCTGAACACCACAAAATATGTCACGTATTTCGATTTCATGGGGAGTACTGAGTTCCTTTGCATTTTGGTATGCCATTTTTATCAAGTTATACAAACAGCAGACAGTAATCTGATGTATTTTTGTTGTTTTAGCAAGGTTAGAAACTGTTAGGAAGGACTCAGCAGTTCCAAGAGATGCAATATCTGCTTCAGATAATGCTGTTATCCATCCGCTTCCTTTCAACAAATCACCAACAGTTTGAAAGCTGCCATTTCAACATGCAACCCTCAAAACAACAAATCTATCTTAATCATAAATTTCCGGCCATTCCCATTGTATCTGTTTGGCAAAAACAAATAAAGGTTGGTCACAGGTCATCAAAGGCGTTTGCTTGGATTTGAAAAGTTAAAAAAGATGTTACCTCCTTCATTTTATCCATGCTTTATTGTGGCTATTGAATGAGCCTATTCTTGTAATAGCGACAGCTAGCTGATGTGTGATCCTCTCCCTTTCGACAATAACACTATCTTAACATCTAGTGCTTCATTAGTTAAAGTTATAAAATGAAGCCATTCATAATCGAAACAAAGGTTTCAAACGAGATAGTTGTGATTAGAAGTGATCAATGGTGTTCGAATTCGATAATCAGTGGGTTAGGTTTTGATTTCAATCAAGAATGCTGGTTTTAAACTTGGATATGCTTCTGGAAGACAGCTGATACTTTTTATTTTGGTTTTTGACATTTAAATTCAAACTTTCAGGTATTGGTGAAAGTTGAAGAAACTTGATGCTGAAAAACAGATATACCGGTGCTAAAATGTAGTTGTTGCTGTTGTGGCAGAAGGATTATGATATTCCATGAATTGATTGAAAAAAGATTCCCCAAGCTGAGTAGATACTTCCAAGACTAGGTCATATGAAATAAATTCCATGCTGAAACAAAGCATCTATCTGTTGTCGCTTTCTTGTTTGCATAAAAAAGACCAACATACATGTATGTAGCAAATGATGGTTCGCGGTCACTTGAACATCTTGAGTGTTCATTTGCATTTGTGTTTTTGTTCCCTTCCTGTGACTGTTTAAATACTAAAGCTGTGTCATAGCAACTCTGACTTCGTTAGACCATTACTTCAAAACAGGTCCATGCTCAATCATTGACACGAGTTCAATTAACAACGTGGAACAGAATCACGGATATAGTCTTTACCAAAATGACCAAAAAAAGCCATATGTTCGGTCAATATTTCTCCGCGGACAATTTCACTTCTTTAGCAAAGATAAATGGCATTAGTATAGTCACAAGCAGAAACAAGTGTTGGACCAACATCTTTTTTTCAAAAAACCAGTAATACCTCTCGTCCTTTGTGGAATGCTTTTAGCTGTGGAACTTTGAACAATAATTCGTTTTCAGACGTGTTCTACTAAATGTTGAATTAGCTTCAGACTGTCTAAATTTGTATAAATGGCACAGATCAACTAATTTGAATACTATGCCCCCTGCACTTTCGCGTTGTGATTCCAAAATGTGAGTAACTAACTCAGCAAATGCAATCTGATTGATTTCACCGTCGGTGTCTGCAACTTCTGGCATCGATTGTTGCTTCCTTAAATGGTCTCTTTCCTTGTTGTACAACGATGTCAGACATGCTCTGTGATACTTAAGCTCTTGTGCTACAACATCACCTGCACTTTATTTTGCCAAAAGTTTTTGATTTTGCAAGTTCTTTGTCTACTGGTGGAGACTTGTGTTGAGTTGCATCGTTATAGCATCACAAAGTTTAGAACACGATGCTTGTTTCTCACAGATGAAACATTCTTCTAGATGTAAAGATCGCTCTTCTGTTGATGCACGAGAACTTTTTATTGTAAATTTGGATTTATATCGGCGGACCGATGTCCTTTTTTAGCTCTTTGAAGTTTTGTGTTATTAAACAGTAGTTGGAGGGGTTTTGAGTGCCTCAAGTTTGTCTTCCTGACTTACAAAACACTTTGACTAATCTGTGCTCTGCTTCTCCCGAGCTGACAAAAAAGTCGAACTCTTTTTGACATAGTAACCATTAATAAAAGACAAATGTATGAGAAAGAAAGAGGCAAAAACAATTGAATTAAGAAGTGGATCCGTAAAATGTTATAGAGGATATCTTAAGAGGGCTGGGTGGTTGTGGCCATTTTCAGACTATATTGATCTCCTTTAGAAGATGAGCTCCATATAAAGATATACAAAAATGATCAAATTTTAAAACTAAAATGTATGAATTTTTTGTTTGCCAAGTGATAGTTGACACGACAGCTTAAGATATCATATCTAAAAAAATAAGTTATATCTGATGGTTAATTTGTTGACCCTCCCAGCCTCCTTAATTTTAAGTTGAAGGCCGAAGGATTTCATTTTACGACTTACAAATTACACACTTTTATGTATGGGATACAGCTAAAATTCCTACACCAAGTCCGATAGTATATCCAGTATTATTCAACTCCCGTGCGATCTGTACATCATCAAAGGGACTAAAACCCCGTCCTTCTTTGCTTGGTTTTCCCGCGTTGGCACACTCCGTCATTCTGGATATGACACCACGACCTTGTACGGGGCGGATCATGATGTTTTCCTGAGACTTTATTTTGATAAAAAACAAAGATAACACTGAGCCCTTTGCCGAGTTTCATGACAATAATTGCACTATAAAGTAGTGTATGCAATTTACTCTTACATTTATAAACTCAAAATAGACTGATTGTTTTTTCACTCATTGAAACATCACTGGTGAAGGGTTTCAACTATAGAATTTTAATACGCATTCAAGGCGATTGAGGGAGGGAACGCCTGTCGTGACACGGGGCCTTTATAGTTAAGGTTCCGCACCTTTCACTTCAATGTTCCGAGCGCTTCGTAAAGGAACAACTGCTATATATTTTTCGTACTCCTAAATAACAATTAATCGGCTGGGCTAAAAGCAAAAAATATGGTCTATCTAAAAAATGAATAATGAGTGAATACATACTACTAAAACTGACTATTGATTTGTTTGGGTTTTTTTTATTGTTTAACGTCCCTCTCGAGAATTTTTCACTCATATGGAGACGCCTAGTGAAGTGACACAAGTATGACTAATATTGAAATATAATATTACATACACCTTAATTGGCTGGCCTAAGACTAGTTAAAATGTAAAAACAAAAATACAATTAAAAACATGCTGACAAAAAGTTTTAACAGCATGTGTGAGTTCGGAATTTGACAAATAGTACAATTATAAATACATGTACTCATTAGATTGGGACGCACGTTCTCTTAACAAGAGGCCCATGGGCCACTATGCTCACCTGAGTAACTATGGTCTTGCTGTTCTTCAACAGCAGATTTTTCCCCTATCTATTCCTATGTAAGACCTTGATCACATATTGTGGCCCCATCCCGAATCCGGGAGTTCCTGTATGATTTGAACAAACTCGAATCTACACAACCTTAGGATGATTCCATATACTGTAAACCAACTATTATTCGCGTCATCTTTTATTCGCGATTTGTCAGTTTGAAATCAATCCCCAATGATTAATTTTCGCGACCGAGGAATTATTCTATGGAAATACAAAGCAAATTAAAAGGTTTGCGGCGATTAATATTCGCGAGTTAAAGTAGGTAGACGTAAACAAATTTGAATTTACACTTCCTGAGGAAGCTTCCATATAAATATGACTACATGGCTTTGCTGTTCTCGAGATTTTTCCTATTTTCGCTAAGTAAAGTTTGAATGCCCATTGTGAATGCCCAGTCCAGTACCCTACCCTAGGGGATCATGACTTGAACAAACTTCAATCTACACAACCTAAGGATGCTTCCATATAAGTATGATTAATCCTAACTTTGCTGATCTTGAGAAGTTTTTAAAAGATTTTTTCTAATATGTATTACTAGGAATTACTTTGATCACCCATTCTGGTCCCACTCTAACCCTCCCCCCCCCCCCCCCCCCCCCACGCAAATTTGAATCTACACTACTAAAGATATGGCTAATCATAATTTTGATGTTCTTGAAAAGAAGACTGAAAAACTTTTTCCTATATATTTAAATGACATGGACCCCTGAAAACTGAGACTATGCTCAAGTCCTGTATTAAAGAATAAAAATTCCTTACTTAATGGGGGCTCTTATAGGATATCGTATATAATTATGATTTCGTGTGTACAGATTCTACAGGAATATTTGACTGAAATAAGCAAAGAAATGCAAAAACATTATGAAATCCATCCCACTGTTGCTGTTTAACACTTTCTCTATGTACATGATAGGACCCAATCCTTTGGATAACATGTATTCATTTGATTCTAATCTAATCATAGGTAATTAATTTTTTTGCAAATATTTACAATGTGTTTAAACTGGAAAATCAAAAAAATAATGTAGAATAAATGTCTCATTACAAATTACATGTAGATGTTGGTGTTTTAATAAAATTGAGTACTTTAAAAAGTAACCATGGCATCCCAACCTGCTTTAATCTGACACAAAATCTTGGTAATAAATTTAACCTACTTGTGACTACCAAAAATGAAAATGATCAAATAATTAAAACAAATATTGACAGAGATAACCTTCATTTTACAATATGACATACATCTAGAACACAGAACACAGCTCGACATGTTGGACATGGCGAGTTTCCTGACATCCAGATTTCTGGTCTTTGTTGGTCCTGACGACTAGCGTACCACTTTCCCATGCATTCTAAACACCACATGGGTCGACAGTAGCACTGTACACACTGATCAGCCCCGACACTGTCGCACAACTTCACTAACTTAATGTCCGATTCCTTCTGCATACACCCAATGCAAGTATCTGCCTCCTTGAATATCAAAAAAAAAAATTGATTCTTATTCAAATATTCTCCAGATTACTGATACGTTTCATCGTGTATGTGGTACGTGCTATCTGACATGGGATCACTTTATTATTTGCATACGAATGATCCCATGCAATGATGTTCACTATTCACTTCATACACACCATAACAAAAACACACTCCTTAAATAATTAATTTTAAGTCAATTTACTTTCCCAAATAAAATTCTTACTTCAGGTGGATGGAGTGCACTGACTCATTGTTGATATTACATATATGATATATAACTGTTATTAACTAAACCACATTTTTATTGAAGTCTTACCATTCCTTCTGGCATATTGAAGACTTGGTTCAGGCTGACTTGGTGTCTAAAGGCCTCCAGGAACTGGTCACTGAGGGATTGTTTTATTACTATGTTCCTGGCATTGACAATAGGTGTTGTCAACTTGTCTTTCAGATCTCTATACTCTAAGGCATTCAACCTGAAATAGTATAGGAACTTCATAAAATCTTAAAAATTAAATCACTTTGCTTACAGATGGAGATTATTTTGTCTCAGAATGTGTTTATGATGCTGCAGTCAGGCAGGTCTGATTGTCAGTGGCCACATAGCTCAATTGGTAGAGCACCTTGCTAGTGATTTGGGAGGCGGCCCTAGGTTTGAATCCTGGTCTGGTCCATTGCATTTTTCTCCTCCCAGTTATATTTTGTGCTAATGTGCCATGCCCTGGATGTGACGTACAGGTGAAAAACCTGCTGGGGGAAGAGTCTGGGTTGTTGTCTTTGGGGATGAGGAGGGAGGAATGTGGCAGTCAGACGCGTTCAATTATCAGTGGTCAGATAATTTGTTTGGTAGAGTACCTGACCAGTGATTCATGGGGCTTGGATTTGAATCCTAGTCTGGTTCACTGCATTTTTCTATTTATCAGTTACAGTGATATATAATGATTTACAAAAAGCACATGTCTGATGTTCATGCAACTGATTTATCAACCTGATAAATGTTACATGAATAACAAAAATGAGCACTTATAAGGGCTCATATCATACAAGTAAATACATTACATATCAGATTAGGTTTTACTTTCATTTTTGTTAACATTGCATCTCGATCCCCACAGATATTTGGACAGGCCGACTCAGGCCCACTTTTTTTTTGGGGGGGGGGGGGGGGGGGAATAAGTTATTTGACAATTTCCTTTGTACTTCTCATTTACAAAGCCATGCAACATACAGATGGAAGAGAGAGAGCTGGCCATGCTAGCTATGTTTTTCTCCATACTGGAATCTCCCTAATATAATCTCTGTCTGTGTTTTCTCTCTTTATACTAACTTCCTTAAATTATGCTATTTGGTTTGGGGGAATATAATATCTGATTTACTAGTATAGACTTGGTGTGTGCTGATAACATTGTTATACTAGCATTAAAATTGTAAAGTCTTGTCAATCTTTTTTCATTTAGGTCTATATTTTCTTTTACATTTCAAATTATAAATATTTTCATAGTATAATTTCATGAAGAGGTCTAATTCAGAAAGTCATCACTAACAAAAAATAAACACAACACTACAATTGTAAATATTTATTTTAAATTTCAATAGAATGTGTCTCACCTGATAGTAAATGGCTTGAGCTTTGGATTGATACCTATCACATTAAACTTGAGGAACTGAACAGATGTCATACTTTCATAATGAATATCATGCTCCTCAGATTTGGATAAGGATAGATGTATATCATTTTGATGTGCAATGTACACATAGTAGGTGGACGTTTTCATCACCCATGAGTCTGTCACAATCACTCTACGCCCTGGGGCACCTGTCGTGAATTTATCTACCCTCCTAAATTCTATGTTAATGGAAGAAGCCACAGCCCTCCAGGAGGTTCCATTCCCAAGCAGTGCTAGTTCTTTTGCTATGGGATGGCTGTTGTATTTATTTCTTGTCCAAAGGTAGAAGAGCAGGGATGTTGTCAAAATAACTAGAACACAGGAGACTAAATAGCTCTTCCAAAGAAATCCTAACTTCCATGGAGTAAACAAACCAAGGTTTGGTGAAAACAACCCTAGTCCTATGTAGTATCCTGAAATAAAAAATATTATTATTGTTAAGAAGAGTCTGTAATTCAATAGGACAATAGAGAATCAGAATTGACTGTAATCATCAGACACCCTCAGTAGTTATGGTTTTATTGATAACATATACATGTAACGGTACATAAGCATGTTTACAAATACTGTTCTCTGCTCTCATCTCGCTCTCAGTACTCAACATCTTTAGTTAAACAGCTAAACAGAATACTGTATAGCAGGATTTTTTAGCAGAGTGCTAACTTTGGCATATTTCAGTGGGTTTGGTAAAAGTCCGCTTAAATCTTTATCACTAAATTTGCACCCTAGCCTTGCATGCAGTGCTGGACACAAGAAAAATAACTTTAAAAAAATAACAGATTAGTCTGTTATTAAACATTATACCTCTATGAGTTCTTTGATAAATTGGTATTCAGACATACATATCTAAGGTACCTGAAGCAATTATCCATTAACTTTATGAAAGTGGAGACTGAAGAGGAAGTGCATGAAGATCATTGTCCCCAAACCTTGTAATATCTAAGGATGCATGACGGTAGTTTTAAAAATAATACAGATTTGTAAGACATTTTAGGCTTCTAGAAAATGGAATTGGATGTAGATATTGATGCATAATTGATAAGTTTAAAATTTTAAAAGTAATCATTTTTTGGCCAAAATTGTTGTCATCTCCATTGTCAGAGTGACTGTATGAAGAAATTGGTACTTAACCATTTTGCGACATTCCCACATACTAGGCCGCCTTTGGCCAAGAAATGAAAGTAAAGCAAAAAGTAAGTTAAAATAGCTACCTGAAGTAGGTTTAAATACCTAGGAAGCTATAAATAGCTACGTAGCTAGAAATAGTCTTAGGACTGGACCTGCTGAACAATCCATAACACCACCACTCCATAAAAATAGCCTTCCCGAAAAGCAAGTAAAAAATTCAATTATAATTACCTAACGGTAGTAGTGAATGAGTTAGTAATGTAATAGCTGTCCTCTTCATATGGTAATCGATAAAATGTAACTGTTCACTGCCAAGATAGTTGGATAAAACATTCTGTATTGTCAAACCTGCTGAAACAAATTCAGTTGGGGGTGCAACAAAACATAACACAAAAAACGAATACCCTATGGTAAATATGACATTTAAAGTTTCTTCATTGCCCATCGTTACAAGAGAATGATATATCCACGTGTGACAAAAAAATTAGCAACACTGGCGAAATCTAGTTTCACTTTTAATGTATTAGAACTCTTAAATGCTGAAGTTATGAAAAGTAGACAACATGGCAGCTTCCATTGGACAAGAACAGATGGTTGAGATTAGTTTCGAGAACATTAAAAAGGTATTGGTGTAGATTCTTATATTGCTATTTAGATAAACACGCCCCTCTTGCTAAGTGTCATTTATTTTGGTTTATTTAAACCTGTCATTTCTAACAATTACAATGGAAGGTGGAATCCTTTTCTGAGGAAATTCGAAAAGTAACGATTATCACCAGCTGTAGCTCCTTTGCTGTGGGACTCACGTAGGACTCATGTGGGACTTATTTTCTCCGTGGGACTTGTTTTAGTATCAGCGGCTGTAGATGTCTCGACAGGGCTCAACATTAATTAAAATATCCACTTGTCCATCGGGAAAGTTGCCAACAAGTGTTACATGTCCGAATTCATTGTTTAATTGTCCAACTATGAACAGATGTAAAGAAATTAGTAGAAATTTATTTTCAAAAATGGGATAGTTATAGCAGGGACCTATATACTAAGTACTTAGTATATAGGCCCCTGGTTATAGATAATATTAACTGATACATGTAGAGATTTGTAAACCAAAAAATATACATAACTGATATAAAATACAGTGGAACTGTATGTAACCTAGTCTCATTCACCCTTGTTAGTTAACTATATCCAATGAAACGAAACTGAACCCTAAGGATTGCAGCTTTTGCTATTGTAAACAATACAACAGTGTCAATGGTTAATGAATTAGGGGATGATTAGACCATTTGATTCGGGGGTGGGGGAGGGGAGCCTGGCAGATTTTGGAAACAAATAATCTGTCCTTGAAAATTTTGGAAATAAATAATCCCTGCTAGACTGGTTTAAGAAAATAATCTGTCCTTGACTGAGCTACTCCCCCCCCCCCCCCCCCCCCCCCAAGAATAGACGTTTAGAATTTGGCAATTTTTGTTTTGTTTTGTCCTTGTCAGACTTTTTCAGTAAAGAAGAAAATAAATATTCTGTCCTTGATCATCATGGAAATAAATAATCTGTCCTTCATTAACATGAAAATAATTGATCCGATTCAGAAAAATTTGCTCCTCCCTCTTCCGAATCAAATGGTCATCCCCTAATGTAGGATTTTAAAATAAAAATCATACTCACAATATTCCATAAAGGTAAAAGAGTCACTTTTCCAACAAGTTTGTCCAGAGGTTGACTTGTCAGATCACAAAATAAACTAATCATGAACAATCGATTAAATGTTATTGTTGAACCATGCTAGATCAAAATAAATATTTATTAAATGAGTCTTGTCATTTTGACGTTTTTCAATGGAAATATAATGTTTCTGTTCATTCACCCCTCAGTCAAAGAAATACAAGTGCAGAATCTGCATGGAAGATATAAATAAAATATAGCAGCTGCACCCTAGACATTCACCATTGAACACACTAGCTGTTGTAATGGAATATGATGTCAAATCACAGTTAGCTTGAGATGTCACAAAGGGGAGAGTATCATAAACTTTACACCTTAATTCAAACTGCATGTAAATTAATGTTAAATTGTTATTGAAAAATTCATGTCGTAACATGTCATTATAAGCTTACTGGTGCAGAGATGTTACTGAATAATTTTTAAAACAATACTTTGTTTTAATACTCTTGAATGAAATTCAGCATATTCAATATGATAACCAAAATAAACTTTGAAATGTTCTTTGTTTCATGTCAGTGGTAAGAGGTAGAAGTTACATGTTTCGCCATTTTCACAGTATTTGTGCTAATTGTGTTGCACTTGGACCAAAAAATAAAAAGTCAAACAACACATTATTGACATGTTTTCTAGAAAGTACAATACCTATGCAAATGAGTCCCAAATTTTTTTTATATAAGCATTCTTACAAAAAAAGTTATGCGAAGTCAAATTTTGGGCGAGACCTTGTGTTGCTGACACTACATTACACCTGTTATGTCTAAAATAAAATATTAAAGATATTTATTTATTCCAAACTTCTTGCGGGTTTCGATTATGTACCTAATCGCAGTGAAATAAAAGAAAAATCTTATGGTTCTCTTTGAAAACAAAAAATTTTATTCACATTAATGACTTGCTAATTTTTTTGCCTAATTTATCTCCCTTCCTTAAGTTTATCTACCTTTACAATCACACATAAGACCTATATAATTATCATGTGAAAATTAAATTGAATACTTCTATATTTCAAATATATTTGTCATAACATCCTGGATATCTTCGTTTGTATCTTGTCTACCTTTGAAAATGCATAACATTTTTGTTGCGGACACTACAAGTAACCATAAGAATAATCTTTTGTCATTTTTAGCTCACCTCGACGAAGTCGAGATGAGCTTATGCTATACCCCCGGCGTTGGCGTCGGCGTCGGCGTTAGCGTCGGCGTCCCGGTTAAAGTTTTAGGAGCAAGTCCCATTCCCAAGTAACTATAAGCCCTACCTTGACCAAACTTGCATGGATGATGCATCTAGGGATGGACACTACCACACTTGCTTCGGATGCTGGATATGACCTAGATTTTCCAGATGAGTGACCAGGTTAAAGTTTTTGGAGCAGGTCCATTCCCAAGTAACTATAAGCCTTACCTGGACCAAACTTGCATAGATGATGCAGATTGGGATGGACACTACCACACTTGCTTCGGATGCTGGATCTGACCTAGATTTTCCAGATGAGTGACCAGGTTAAAGTTTTTGGAGCAGGTCCATTCCCAAGTAACTATAAGCCCTACCTGGATCAAACTTGCATGGAGGATGCATTTAGGAATGGACACTACCACACTTGCTTCAGATGCTGGATATGACTTAGATTTTCCAGATGGGCCACTAGGTTAAAGTTTTTGGAGCAGGTCCATTCCCAAGTAACTATAAGCCCTACCTTGACCAATCTTGCATGGATGATGCATCTAGGGATGAACACTACCACACTTGCTTTGGATGCTGGATCTGACCTAGATTTTCCAGATGAGTGACCAGGTTAAAGTTTTTGGAGCAGGTCCATTCCCAAGTAATTATAAGCCCTACCTGAATCAAACTTGCATGGAGGATGCATATAGGGATGGACACTACCACACTTGCTTTGGATGCTGGATCTGACCTAGATTTTCCAGATGGGTCACTAGGTTAAAGTTTTTGGAGCAGGTCCATTCCCAAGAAACTATTAGCCCTACCTTGACCAAACTTGCATGGATGATGCATCTGGGGATGGACACTACCACACTTGCTTCAGATGCTGGATCTGACCTAGATTTTCCAGATGAGTGACTAGGTTAAAGTTTTTGGAGCAGGTACCCAATTATAAGCCCTACCTGGACCAAACCTGCATGGATGATGCATCAAAGGAAGGACTCTACCATACTTGCTTCAGATGCTGGATCTGACCTACATTTTCCAGATGAGTGACTAGATTAAAGGTTTGGGAGCAGGTCTATTCCCAAGTGATTATTTAAGCCTTACCTTGACCAAACTTTCGTGGATAATGCATCTAGGGATGGACGCTACCACACTTGCTTGGGATGCTGGATCTGACCTAGATTTTCCAGATGAGTGACCAGGTTAAAGTTTTTGGAACAGGTCCATTCCCAAGTAACTAAAAGCCCTACCTGGACCAAATTTGCATGGATGATACATCTAGGGATAGACACTACCATATTTGCTTCAGATGCTGGATCTGACCTAGATTTTCCAGATGATTGATCAGGTTAAAGTTTTTTTGGAGCAGGTCCATTCCCAAGTAAATATAAGCCCTACCTGGACCAAACTTGCATGGATGATGCATCTAGGGATGTACACTAACTAACCTGCTTTGGATTCTGGATCTGACCTAGATTTTCCACATGAGTGAATTTTAGCCATATTTTAACCAAATTAGCATGAATGATGATGTATCTAGAGATGGACAGTTCCAGACTTACTTTGGATTCTGAATCTAATATTGATGGATATTAATCTTGGAATGTACACTAACTAGGAAAAAAATATGATGTGAGATTTACCTTACTTATAGATAACATTCGTCGAGGTGAGCTTAGTAATCTTTGATTACCTATGTTTATAAAAATGATTGTTGATAAATGTTCATTTCTAGCTGAATTATATACCACAGGATCAACTCTTGAAAATGTACCATATAAAAAGATGCAGAATGTGGTTTATTGAGATGAAAATAACCACATAACAAGGAGCATTAATTATTTCTTGATGTATAATTGTTTTGCAGTTTTAAAAAAAGTCTATGATTTTACTTATTTTAATACAATTAAAGAAGTTATAACAAATAGTTTTATAGATAAATTCAATGAATTAAAGAATTTACTGAGGCATCCATAATTCTTTTTTCAGTATTGAAATTGTTGCGGACACTACAATATATTGAAATATTGCTATATGACACCATATTTGGTTTTAATGGAGTAAGCTGAAAATCTTAATCTCTAACTAGTTCTATATGTACAGTAAATGGTGTTATATTATAGGGAAATAAAGAAGGCTAGTCAAAAATGGCTTTCCGGCCTGGAAATTAAAACCCATATATATACCAGTAAGTTTGAAGTGTTATCTTGTACAAAAATCACCTTTTGTTATCTTAATCCAGTTAACTAATTGTATTATCAAAGGAGCAAAATATCAGAGAAGTGTTTTACATTTCAAAAATATTTAATGAAATAAAAAGTGAAAATAATAAATAAAAGTGGTATATAGTTATTACTGTAGTGTCCGCAACACAACTGTATTAATTAAAACTAGACTTATTAATTAACAATTAACATCTTGATATATTCTTTAGTTTCCACTTATTCAGTTTTAAATACCACATGAAAATTAACTTTCAATATATAACATAAGACTGACAATTGAAAGATTTTGAATATTATGTATAAACAAGTCGTTATGGGTGTTATTTAAAGTATGATGTTATAGTTCCACTAAGTTTTGTAACCTTACATATTTGTATTGAATATTTGGACAATTATAGTGATGATCAATTGAAATCATGTTACATTTCTTTGAAGAAACTGTGAATTTAAAGAGCTGTTGCGGACTCTACAGCGTTGCGGACTCTACAAAACACAATATATTTGCCAGAATTCCAAGCAACACTGAGCTAAAGTCTGATATTTTTTGGTAGATAGATTAGTAGCTGTACTGGCCTCTTACATGTAAAATAAAAGAAATATAATTCATAATGCATTCCAGAATAAGCACATGTTGCGGACACTACAGAATTTTGGGACATTTTTATGCCAGTAAGAAGAAAATGTGTCATTTTCTAAAGTTTCGAAGAATCCACTCAAACTTTTCTTTATTGTTTCATTTATCATTTAACTCTAATTTTAAAATGAACCTAAAGTAAGAGTAATGCATTAACATATATTTTTTTTAAACTGCAAGTTCAAACAGTAGAATTTTATTAAATTTCATAACGTATCTGCATTTTCACATATTTAAACATTATTTTGCTAATATTTTGTTGATTTACATACAGTAAATTGCATATAAAAGAGGGATAATTTCACAATGATTTGACATCTATCACTAAGAGTTTCTATTGTAAATCTCCTGAAACAAAAACTGGAAAACAAAGCCATTTTTCAGCTGCAACAGCATAACGCAAAATATACCCCTTATTTTAGGTAGTAAATCTTTAATATTTTTATTGTCTAGAACATGGGAGTGTTATATATCATTTAACTTGTTAGGGGTATCATTTTGTTGTAATTTGGTCATAATTGTTAAGGGTTTAATCATATATTTTGATGCAGAGTGCCTTATAACATAAGTGAGTATGAAAAAACACAAATACTGTGAAAATGGCAAGTATATGTACATATAGAAGAGATTTGCACAGGTATAAAATGTTGAAATCCATAAATATAACTTGAATGTTCATATATGTATGATAATTATGAAGAAAATCAGAAAAAAAAATTGTTTTTTCTAACTCTCTAGGGCAAAAGTTTGATAGCTAAACAGAATTTTGAAGAAGGAGATGTCTTATTTGAAGAGAGACCTCTTGTCAGTTCTCAGTTTCTTTGGAATGAATTTTACAAGTACAAGGCATGTGAATACTGTCTACGTTCACTGGAGACTGCAGAGAATCAGAGTCGACGATTGACAGAAAACGAAGCACTGACATTACCCTACCCAGAGTGTGATGAAACAAACCCATCACAATATACTGCTTGTCCACAGTGTCAGGTTGGCTACTGGACAGTACTGTACACAGGGTTATTTTGGCTCTTTGTTATTTTTGTCCTTTCACATTTGGAAACAATTTTTGCCCATTTTAAATTCACTCAGGCACAGTTGTGCTTAAGTCACTCAGGCACAGTTGTGATTAAGAGATACTGTTGTCTTCCTTGAAATCACGCTGTTTTAATTTTGCCCTGTTACAATGAGGGTAAAAAGAGCAAAAATAAAATGGGGGTGAAAATTTCCCTGTATACAGTATCTATATAAATTTATTTTTCTGTCATAAACTGTCATGTATTAAGAAAATTTAACATATGGCATACTGTAAAAATCAGTTTTTTCATGGGGTCAATTAATTTTTGTGGCCAAGGATTAAATTTCATGGTCGAAAAACTATGGTACATGAATGCAACCCAAACGTGATGAAACTGGAGGTTTGTGAATCTTTTTTTTACCCCCAGAAACAACAAAATTTAACACACATCCCCTCAAACGCATGCACACACAATGATTTCATAGTAATTGTATTCAAAAGATAACCATGATAACAGATAGAAATATATAAAGATAAAAATTTAAATCTATGTAAAGTGATTGGAGTGACAATCACTTTATTGTACAACATATCATGTTTACTGGTAGGTGACCTACTGCTGTCAGGATTGTCAAAACAGAGGCTGGGAGGAGTACCATCAGACCTTGTGTATGGGGTCATCTAGAGAGGATGAAAACCATCCTCTCAATAAATTACAGGACATGTGGAGGTAAATCACAAAATTGTCTGACCATCAGTAATTTCAAAATGATTTGATAAGAGCACTCTTAACTTGAAGCATCATTTGAAAATTATCTTAGATATCTAGCTCTTTATCGAAATGTAATGTGTTTCAATGAAATTTTTTTTTACAATATTATTGATTTGATATGTGTATATACAGAAACATGTATTCCTGTCAAAAAAAAATAATACAAGAACATTCTATGTTAATGACTTCTATAATAATGTTCAAAGTTTAGATTGAAGAAAAGACATATTTGTTTTAAAATATGAATTCATTCTTCTTAGAAACCTTCACTTTCCACCAGAGACTTGTAGTATAATGCTCATAGCAAAGATGGTAGCCCAAGTCAAACAGGTTAGTTTATAGGATAATTATAGAATATAAAATTTTTATATTTACACAATTGCAAAATATGTCAGTTACATTTATATTACACAGTGTGAAATGCTTCGAAATTTTGGTCATCTTTACAGAGTAAAAACAAATCAGACATGTTGGAGAAGTTTTCCCGCTTTGTAAAAACAACAGTGAATGAAGAAGAAGCACTGGTTCATAAAATGATGGGGGACAAATTTCAGGTGAAAGAAAATCATTTGAAAAAAAAAATATTTTCTGTATGTGTGTGAGATTTATATAAGTTTTTTCTGTTTTATATGTTTATATATTACTTGTATCTTCTTCATGCAGAATTAACAATTTTGTGCATAGTATACACGTATATATGTAGGTATATTATGTATTTCATGACCTATAGCTTTTGTTTCATATTTAGGAGCCCCTTGAGATGCTGCGACAACAGATGACAGAAATACTATTTGATGATTCTGTCCAACATGTAAGGCCAAATATGTTGTCAATTTTCATTTTCCCCACACTTTTTTCAAATGGATTTAGGCAGCAGTCATTGTATATTTAAGTCATCTTCATATAGATAACTAATAGCATTAAGAATCTTAGTACATTTAAAACACAAGTATAAATGGAGTAATGATTTTATTTGTTGATTCAGGTCTTGATTTTTGTTACAGTGGTTCACACCTGAGGGTTTTCAGTCCTTGTTTGCACTTGTTGGCAGGAATGGTCAAGGTATAGGATCAAGGTATACAAGTATTTTTTATGTAAAATCTATCTCATCAGTTTACGATCAGTTAGCCTTAATTAGTTATCAATTTCAGAGTAAAAGATGACTTGTTTTGTATTTTTAACATTGATTTTAAAAGTATTTGTGTTAGATGAATTGCAAATAAAGTATACAGTATACAGGGTTATTTTTGCCCTTTCAAAAATTTTTTTGCTCAATTTTAAAATTTGGCCAGACACAGTTATGTTAAAAAAGAAACTCTGAGCTGAATTTTTCCACTGACTACAAGGTTAAATAGGACAAAATAAAATGGGAGCAAAATATTCCCTGTATATACAATAGATACATATAGAGATCCATGACACAGATGAATTCAGTCTTGCTTGATCTTCTACTTTACCAACCTATGTAGTCTGCTACTACATTGTACATGTATGTGCAGATTGATTGATTGATTGTATGTTGTTTTTCATCCCATCAAGAATTTTCACTCATATAGAGATGTCACCATATACCAGTGAATGGCTTCAAATTTAGACCTATACTTGGCACTAAGGCCCATTGAACAGTGAGGGTTCTTTATCATGCCAACACCCACCATGACACAAGACCTCGGTTTTTAAGGTCTCATCTGAAAGACCTGACTTTCACTTCTAATACCAAGCACTAGGGGAAGAGATATTCCCTACCTACTTGTATGTTTAGGTTTGACATGGTACGGCAAATGAGAATCGAACCCAGGTTTCCCAATCATGAAGTAAACAGTATGTGCTTCTAGGAATGCTTACTCCAGTGTACTGGTCATACTTCAAATGCTGCAACTGACCTAAATTTTCAAGAAACTTACATACATAATGCATCTAGAGATATATACTAAAAACCTTGTGAAAGATGCTGCTAGTGATCTGTTAGTTGTTTTTTGAAAGGCCTAAAATGATGAAAATGTATACAATATTATTGGATTCCTCAGAATATTTCTTTGGTATAAGATTTTACCATATTAAGAAGAAAACAATCATCAAGCTGGACTTTGTAATTTTTGATTACTTCTTTATTTATTTATTCATCAGTTCAATAAGTACTTGGGTAAAAAAATGTGAAAAATTGGATTTATCTGAGGAAAAGAAGGAAGAATTGGATGAGTTTATTGACAGACTGTATGAAGAATTAGAAAAAGGTATTTACATGTTTTGTGATTCATTAAACTGTATTTGCATGAAGTATGAGTATTTTTTTTTTAGGAAAATTCTTTAAAATTCCTATTATTTTATGACCATTTTCCAAATGAAATGTTTTTATCTGTATTGAAAGTCCAATTTTCCATTTAAAATTGATTCATTATATTAAAAACTGAGTGAGCAAAAAAAGTTTACATAAACAAATTTTCTTTTTCTTCATATGCTTTGCTTTTAATATCCACCTAATCATTTAATTTTAAAATCCTCTAGTTTACATATCATACCACTTCAGCATTATCATTTCCAAAAAAAAAAACTGTTGTCAATTTTTAATATAAAAGCTTACATGAAAAAAAAAAGCAAAGTGCAACTTCAGTATGGTTTCTGTGGAATTATTAGAAATTTCTTAAACATTTTGGCTACAGAGTAATAAATATTAAGATACTTTCTGAAAATTTAATTGACAGTGTCTGGTGCATTCCTGGATTGTGAGGGTTCAGGACTGTACCTCCTACAAAGCACTTGTGAGTATCCTTATACTCTCTATTTACTCCAATATTTGTGAGGCAGACTTCACTAAATCATGTATTTTATGTGAATTACCCTGACAAGATGAAGCTTGATCATTTTAGGTAACCATAGCTGCCAGCCTAATGCTGAGATCACATTTCCATACAATAATAACATTATGTCAGTGGTGGCCAAAGAAGGAATTCCTTCTGGTCAGGTTAGTCAGCTGTAACCATAACTTTTAACCATTGAATGATTTGTGTAATTTTTGCATACAATGTACATGTAACAATCAAATTTCTAAAAAGCATTTTATCTTTAATAGATATGATCTTTACTCCTTTTGGTACTTACCTTACAGTTTTGGATAATTTGTGTTTTATTTTGAGAATCTTTAACTCAGTCTCTGTCAGTCACAGTTCTGAGTCACTCAGGTGACCTATTGCTATCTGTTTTCATCCGTTCATCGTGTGTCAACATCTGAACATTTTCAACTTCATCTCTGGAATCATTGTACCAATTTCAAGCAATTTTGGCATATAACATCTATAGGTGAAGGGTAACAAAAATTGTGAATTAATTGGTCCCTTTACATTAAGGCCTGACAGATGGGGCTAAAACCATCAAAGTGCGATCTTAAAATCTTGTACTTTACTACTGGAGATCAAGCAGCCTTACTGCTGTCATGATTGTACATAGAATAAGCATTGAGCCCTCTACAGAAATTGTGAAATTCATGGACCCAGGATGAGGGGTTCTGGTGTTAGGATAGGGCTCTATAATTATAGGGAAAATGCATAAATTCTTCAAAAATCTTCTTCTCTCCCCCTGTATATTTAGCAGACAAACTAACTGCATATTAATTATGATTAGCAGGAGAATGTCTCTTTCAAAATTGTGAATTTCTGGAGTTAGGGCAAGGGCTCTATTGATCATATATATATATATATATATATATATATATATATATATATATATATATATATATATACATAGGGAATATGCATAGATTTTTTGAAAATCCTCTTCTCTGCTAGACGAACTACGAGGGTTGTTCGGAAAGTTCATGGACTATCATCATAACTTTTTTACGTAACGTCATATTATATCCAAATTTGGAAGAAATATTTCAACAGTAAATTCAAATGATGTGCATTAAAATTTTTTTAAATATCTTGGATTATTTCAAACTTATTTAGATTTTAAAAATGCGAAAATTGGATCATGGAGCAGGTCAAAATCTTGTAATTTACTATCAAGACGCTAAATAATGTCTGAAGTCATGTCTTCTGTAAAATGACACAAAAACAGAAAAATTCTACACATTCAAATTAAGCATTGTTTTATCGTTTCTGATTCCAAATTATGACTTAATATTTTGCTTCGTTGAAAAGGAATCAGTTTCAGAAGATAGGCAGTCCTCATTGAACAAGGCAAAAAAGACGACCTCGTAGAAAGTCATGGAGCAGCAGTTAAACATACAATTTTGTGTTGTACTCTGGAAAACTCCAGAAAAAACTCTGAAAATGCCAGAGGAAGTAGGAAATATGTCAAAAGCGAGCCATGCATGTGTGTTTACATGGTACAAGCGGTGTTTAAATGATAGACTATTCTGCTTAGACGATGGTGATCTGTGAGAAAACGGATTATCTGTAAAAATCTTATCAAAAACATTGAAAAGTCAGTAACATCATGCTAAGAGTTTGGTGCTTAACAGATGCTGATCTTGTGAAAGCACACTTATGCAGTGAAAAAAATATGAATTGACAAACAAAATAATGCTACTGGAACAATTGTTAGCAAAATAGATTTCAAGTGATAGAGAAACGTTTTTAATGAGTGCACTGGTATTCTGATATTGGTCCATAATTGGGCAACACTGTGTGAAATGTATAGCGATAGTATTTTTGAGAAACTCATGTCGGTATATTTTTGATGTTACAGTGTTGTTGAGTTTGCTCCTTGGTTACAAAACGTGTTGATTTTAAAATTAAATAACATGAATTCTATTAAATCACATGGAATGAAACTTCACACTTAAACAAAATAAATATTTTTACATATGATAAAGTGCTCATTTTAAATTTCTTGAAGATAGTATAACGAAGATTGGCATAGTCCACGAACTTTCCGAACAACCCTCATATGTCCATGGTTATGATGAGCAAGGTTGTATTTCCCAAAATTTTGAAATTCAAGGTCCCTGAGTCAGGGGCTTTGGAAGTAGGACACAGTTTTCTTATGATCATGTTTTGGAATTTTTACTTTGCTTTAAGGGAAATTATTACCCTTAGTTATTTGCCAATTAAGCGTAATCATTGTAAATGATGTAATTGAAAGGTAGACTGAATAAAAGAATTATTACAGATTTTTAATGTACAATTCAAAAAAGTACTTTTGGAATTTTTAATAGTAACATTGACTTGTAAATAATATATGAATAAAAAGGAGAATATCTAAATTAAATATTATTCAAAGACCCTAAGATCCCCATGATATTGGGACTGTTTTTGGTTTACTGAGTAAATATTTTGCATTATGCCAATAATGTTATTGCAACTTTAAACTTGATGACAACCAGATTGTATTCAGCTCTTCTATTGTTAATATTCCACTATCATCTGCATGTTATTTTTGTTTCTCAACTCATTCCGTATGCAAAAGCATGTTCTCTGAGTACAGTCAATTTTTTAACGGAGCATGTCACAGACAAATAAGTTGATGTTGCATGGTTTTTAAACATCCTGTTAAAAGTCAACACAGGCTTCCGCTCTATCAAATTTTGACGGACATGTTTCATTGTAAGGCCATTCCCAAACAAAAATTTACTTTAGTTAATTATAGTAAATACTTTGATACTTCAATATTGCTATGAAAGTTTACTCTAGAACTTTTTCGAAGATTTAGAGCCTTAATATTTCTTAAATTACATACCAATGATGTAATTTTTTGAAATAATATGTAAATATGCTTGTAATATTTCTTATTTATGTAAGAAAATTGCTTGTAAGAATTTTAAAAAATAAAGTATAATGATCTGAAATTCATAGTAAAAATACTTTGATCTACCATAGTGAAAACGTTGATTTGCTATAGTTAACTATAGTAATTTATAGCAAACTAAAGTTAACTGTAGTAAACTGTAGTACTTTATTGTTATTATTGTTTTAATGCTAATTTTGACTATAAATTTCTCTGTTAGTGGGATAAAAACAGAGGACTCACTGCAGATATATAAGATCTTCAGGGGATGCTATCTCCTCCAAGGAACCTGACCCATTCCTGTTGTCTCCAGAGGTCAATATTTTAGCCCTGTTCATGATATGTATTGTTTATAAGATTTATGAGATTGATGTGTCATTTGGTGGCATGGTCTTCCCATACAACTTACATTACAAATAAAATTCCACATACCCAACATTGCAAGAATGAAAAAAGGTGAAGATTATGAACAGTGATCGATCTTAAAAAAATCTATAAACAATACCAATCTGTGAATCAGGTACCTAGGAGGAGTAACCAACCCGTGTTGACGGGGTACACCCGCTGTAAGCCACACATATTGATCAGGTAGACAGAACATTCTGTAGTCAAATTCAGTATAAAAACAAAGGCCTAATAATTGGTATAAAAATCAGCCAAAATACGACCCAATGATAGGTTATATTTGCTAACAAGGTCATTTCGTAAATTCTATGGTAGGTATAATGACCTTGTTGGCAAATATAACATGTAACATCAACCTAACTGTCACTAGCCTGTCTCAGTTTAAAAATTAATCATGCTCGGAGCATGCTCTTGAGTATCGCATAAATTGGGAGATGTAAACACCATTTGCAGGTGATAGCGGGATATTACTATATAAATAAGGAAAGTTGACGATGGAAAAGCTGAAGTCATCTCGTTTGTTATTCAGTTTAGTTGTAAGTTGGCCTTATCGTCTATAGTTAGTAAAACATCCAAATATGAAACAGATTTGGCAGACACTATGTTGTTTTTTATTTCAAGTTCACTGTGATATATCGATTCAACATATGAATGGAAGTAACTATTGTTAATTGATAATATTGAAAATATGTTGTTGATATATCTAAATGTCGAGTTGAAGGCCACAGCAAGTGTTTTCTTCTCGTGTAGAAGTTTTTGAATAAGTTCTGCTTCATAAGAATATAACAGGTCAGCTAATAAAGGAGCACAATTATTGCCTAGAGAAATTCCAACAGTTTAATGGAAGACCTAGTCTCCTAAAACTACATGAATGTTATCAATAAGGAACTCCAGCATCCTTTAAATATCAACTTCAGAGTATTTGTGTGTAGAATCAGAGGGATTTTTAACATGGTAATCTTGTTGATGACCAAGATATGAACATTTTCGCCTTACATTTTTTATTGAAGAAACAGTGGTCTATGATATCAAAAAGCCCATTTCTGTTAATTTGTCATGAGGAATGGTTGTATAAAACGTAGAAAAAGTTGTATGTTTTGATGTTACTGACTTTTTAAGACTTTAGCGATTTTATATTATCTAAAAGGCCTTTGGAGTTTTTGAGAATCCCTCTCTGATTTTCACCACTTCTAGAATATTCTTAACACAGTACGTTTGAAGTTTCTCCTTTACAGCCGTTAATATTTATGTAAGGAGTAAATATGGGATTTGGTAGAGTATTTGCTGAACCCAGCAATGTATCTTTGTTTGTAAGGATTTTTATGAAGTAGGGCAGACTGAACTCACCTTGGATGACTGGATTGTTAAAAGTATTAAACACTGAATTGTGATTTTCATCTTTAGAAGTTGCTGCGAGAATTAAAATTATGTTCTTATGAAATACAGTTATGATAATGAGCCTTACAAAGACGATATTGTTAGAAGTCTTGTCAGCTGGAATCATAGCATATTATTCATGTAGTCTTTCTAATTTTTTGTCACCGACGATTTAGTGAAAACGGAAGGATAGATGGTTCGCAGATTGGCTATTAAATTTCTTATACGATTCTTTAACATATTTCTTCAACACTTAATTCATTCTGACATAGTGTTCAGATCTTCTTTTTCATATTTAGCCCTATGTCTGGCATAATCGTCGACAGAATTCATAATAGAAATGAAGTTCTTGTACCAGTTGAAAGATTTGGGTTACTTTTATTTTGGACCTTGTAAGATGACTGCATTTAGGTCTTCATTTTTAACTTAATTGACATCACCAATAATGATGTGTCCAGAGGGACTGTAGTTGAAAGAAGAGCATAAATCTTGAGCATGTTGAGTTGATTTGTTTTAAATGTTCAATGTTTAGATAATAAATATAATGATTTTTTCAACATTTTCCAAGGATAATTTTTTTGGTTGTGCTGAATGTTCATTATAAACTGTTTTTTGTTTTTATGCAATGGCTTTTGCTGTGTACTTTAAATGTGGATATTTATATTTAATTGTAGTTAATTACACTTCATAGTAAAAATGTGTAATTTCAGCGATACCAGTATTATGGATTTGTTAATACTGAATGAAATATTTGAATAACTCCTCTCTATCTATACCAGTGGTTTGTGCTAATATGTCCAAGTACCAGTTTATGCAGAATGAACATGATTTGATTTAACGTTTTTTTCAGGAGATCTGTATTGGTTATCTTAGTGAATGTGATTTATCACGAAGCCGTCACAGTCGACAGAAAATTCTCAAGTAAGCCTCTTAAAATAAATTTACATTATTACATCTACAAGTACTACACAAGTACTCTGAAGTTGACATTAAAAAGATGCTTGAGTTTCTGATTGACAATATCTATGTGGTTTTTGGAGACCAGGTCTTCCAACAATCTATTGGAATTCCCTTGGGTATCAGTTGCGCCCCGTTATTAGCAGACCTTTCTCTGTATTCATATGAAGCAGAATTTGTCCAAAATCTTATATGTGAAAAGAAGAAAACACTTGCTGTGACCTTCAACGCGACATTTAGATATATCGACGACGTATTGTAAATTAATAATGGTTATTTCCATTCTTATGTCGATACGATATATCCCGGTGAGCTTTAGATAAAAGATACCACCGAGTCTGACACATCTGTTTCATATTTGGATATTTTACTTGAAAAAGACGTTAATGGTAATCTAACAACCAAGCTTTATGATAAACTTGATGACTTTCTAAAACGAGGTAAATTATTGACAAACAAGTTGATGAAACAAGAATATCAGCAGTCTCGTTTATAGTCATCATTTCGTAAGTTCTATGGTCTATACAATGATCTTGTCAGCAAATGCAATTTATCATTGAGTCAAATGCTGACTGAAGTTTTTCATGCTGAATGTTAGGCCATGATTTACACACTGAATTGTTGACGGATTTTCCCGTTATTTCCCGATCATGACAAGGAGCACACGGCGGGTGTGACCGGTCGGCAGGGGATGCTCACTCCTCCATGGCACCTGATCCCACCTCTGATGTTTTGGAGGTCCGTGTTTGCTCTGCTCCTAATTTGTTTTGTTTAATGGACTTTTGAGCTTGAATGCTGTTCGTTATCTCCATATATATCATCTAACATACTTGATCAATTGCATTAAACCTTAGGATAGTATTTATGGCATAAAGCTGCTTAAACTCTTGCATATTGAATTATTATGTAATGATGTAATGATTTCAACTTTTCTATCGGCAGTTTTCCTTAATATGTAGCAATATACCATTATCACCTTCACATAATGTTTATGTTTCCCAGTTAATTTGATACACAAGAGCATTTTCAAAGTACAAACATTTTCTATACCGAGGCAGGTTACTGATAGATGAATTGATAGTACAAGGTATCAACAATCTCTTTTAAAGTAAACATTTTGGAAATTCTTTGGTCGATAAATTGACATAGTTAGCAAATACAACTTTCCATTAGGTCAGATCTTGACTGACATTCATTATAAATTGTTAGGCCATTATTTTTAGCTCACCTCAACGAAGTTGGGGCCACGTGTCGTCATTCCAGGTAGCTTCATGCGGCAAGAAAGCAATCAGATAACGAATGCGAAGGGTATACCCCAGTACCGATATCAAGGAAAGGAAAACTTACAGGGCATAAGCCAATTTACGAGTTGTGTTCAGCTTATGATTTGAATTCACTCTCATAAAGGAAATGGGAGGAACTGAAACACTAAAAGGAACAGATAACGTGAATTCAAAATGGATTTTTCTTGTCTTTTTACTCAACTGTTACAATCTAGCACTTTAAAATCCTTGGGGATTATTGCAATTAGGGGGACCATGATATAAATTTGAGTATGTAACAGTTGACAGAGCCTATATCGTGTATAATTGATCAATTTACAAACAAGTTTGAACTTTTAATTAACACCAGACAATATCAATATGCTGATTACTTAGAGTTTTTTAAGACAGAATTCAGAGTCATCACCATTAGTATTGATTATTGAAAATGAATTTGTAATTTTAATGAAAGATACGTGTTACATTGATGTCAGAAATGATAACGTCCAATATCCTGCCACTATGTGGAGATCACATCTAGAAGTTAGTGTTTAATTCTACATTTATGTATTTAAAAAAAATCATATTTGTATTTAGAAAATAAAAATCACAGAGGTAAGTTGTATCAAATGATTTGAATGTGATGTGGATGTTTCATCTCTTTACTTCGCGGAAAAACTGATATGAACTTGAATGACAACACATAGGATCATTCCAACAAAGAACCTCTCTCTCTCTCTCTCTCTCTCTCTCTCTCTCTCTCTCTCTGCGGTTTTCATAATTGTCACAACTTTGAAAAGGAACAAGCGAAGTTACGGACAATGATACGTAAGATTCTTGGAAGACAATATTGTGTTTTGTGTTTTAGATGATTTAATAAAATGATAATTTTATTGAATGCAATTCACTTCAATTTTACAGAGAAAATTACCTTTTCATTTGTGAATGTCCAAAATGTTTAAGTGAGGCAGATGACCCGGACTTGACGTCAGAAGAGGACGAAGAAGACATGGAGGAGGATCAGTAAATGAAAGAATGCAAGAAAAGTCAAAATTTACTTTTTTAAAATGTAAAATCAATAAATCTGTATATTATCTAGTCAATGTGACTTTCATTGAAATTCCCAGATAGATTGATTGATTGATTGTATGTTGTTTTACGTCCCATTCGAGAATTTTTCACTCATATAGAGACGTCACCATATACCGGCGAAGGGCTTCAAATTCTGACCATTACTCGGCACTCAGGGCCATTGAGCAGTGAGGGATCTTTATCGTGCCACGTCTGCCGTGACACGGGGCCTCGGTTTTTAAGGTCTCATTCGAAGGACCCGCAACTTTCATTTCAAAGTGCCGATCGCTTGGCGAAGGAACAGTAACTGTTGCTACCTATATTTTATCGACTTAGGTCAGTCGCGGTTCGAACACAGGACCTCCCGATCACGGAGCGAGAATTCCCAGATAGAGGTATTTTTTTTATGAGGAAGGCATTTCTCTATATAGTTTTTCAAATCGTTAGTGAACACACCTTGGGGCGTGAAAAAAACAGTTGTACACTTGTTTTAGATTAACAAAGGTGACGAGAGAAATCTGTCTCCACGCTATCTCTTCACAAGTTTGAGAAATTAAAATTTAACATTTAAGCAGATGGTTTTCAAAATTAATCTGTTAAATCTTCGTACTATGATATATACTTTCATTTTATAGAAACTTATTGTGATTTGTAAGAAAAAACGCCTTTTTAAATCTAGATTCATGTTTAAACTTTTTTACTTGGAAATTTTATTTAAAGTGTCAACACAACACAATGAAAGAAACTTAGATTTATTTGGAATGAAACGGTTTAGAAACACTTGCCTAACGAAGATCGTTTGAGAAAAAAAAGTTGAATATGAGATAGGCAGATTGCTAAAGTTAAATAACCCAATGTACACAGAAATTCTGAGTATTGCTGAAGTAATAATGTTCCATACATGCCCCAATAAACCTTGACAATGGATATACATTAACTGAAGCGATTGACACCAAGAACCATGAATTTGACGAGTGGTGAATTATTCACTGTACATGTAGTCACAATATGTGTAGTAAAGTAACATAGTTATTATACCCTATGTGCTGCAAGTTGTTCGATGAAACTTTTTTAATAAGATGAAACACTTTGAATTGTTATCCCCTTTTTGATGCAGAATGTTCTCCAAATTTTAATTTTGAATACAATTCAAGCAAATTAAAAAGATGCCAGAGCTCCACCATCATCAATATCTAGGCCAGGTCTTACAACAATCTGTTGGATTTTCTCTGAGTAATCACTGCAACTTTATTAGCAGACCTGCTTTTGTATTATGAAGCAGAATTAATTTTTACTGCATGAAAAGACAAAAAATTGACGTGTTAGCAATTAACATTACTGTATTCATTCATACAGTGTACGTTGATTTGGTTTTGCCTACTGAATGCAAAAAAAGACTTCACCTAATCTGAAACGATCCGGAAGACCTCGGGCCTTTTACAGAAAAACACTTGTCGAAAGACATGAGGTGTTTCGGATGAGTCTGACATCTGTTTAATATTTGAATTACTACTAGAAAAAGATAATGATAGCAAACTAATAACTAAACTATATGATAAATGCGATGACTTCAACTTGTCTATCTCGGCTTCTGCTTTTTTTTTTTTTTTTTTTTTTTTTTTTTTTTTTTTTTTTTGCAATATGATATAATCATCCGCATATGGTGTTTATGTCTCCAGTTGATTCGACGCACAGGAGCATGTTCAACTTGCGATCAATTTCTAAATCGAGACAGGCTACTGACACATAAGATAATGTTAGAAGGGTAGCAAATTCTGTTGTTGACAATGTCTTTGTTTGCAAATAACAAACAGTCTTAAGGTAGAGTGTTGAAGGGTGTTTGTAACAAATTAGGTCATTATTTTCATAATAGCAGGTCTCTATGTGACCTCTAAAATCAAGCGCCAACTGGTTCCTTATCAAAAAAAAATAGTCACCAATGCAAATATTTAGTCGCCAGGTAAATTTTTCTTAGGCACCAGTTTAAAATTGATATAAGTCAATAAATAGAGACATGTCCATTGCTAACTTTAAAACTTCTTTTCTGCTCTTTATAAAAAAAAAATTGAAAATGTTTATAGTTCAGTGATTTGACGATTACCAAGCCAATTTAAAATGTTCGCCAATTGGCGACTTGTAGAAAAAAAATTTAGGCGCCAATCATAATTTTTAGGCGCCATGGCGACTAAATTAGTCGCCAATTAGAGCCCTGAATAGGCTTTGGATAACTCTCTTTGTGACAAGTTGACAGGAGATGCTTATTCTTCTATAGCACCTGATCCCAGCTCTGATGCTTTCAGAGTTCCGAGTTTGCTCTCCTCTCCTGTCATTTGAGCATGCTTGCTGTTCCTTATCTTAACATTACGTAAAAAGGATTCCATTCCTTTGATTTCAATTGTCATAGACCAGAATTCAGAAAGTAGGGGTAGAATTCATTTAAACTTAACAAAAAAAACAACCCTTTATTAATCAATGTTCCAAAGTTTAATGAAATATTTTAAGGTTTAATCAAGAATAAAACTTCTTAAAGAGTTAACTTTAACCCCATTAAAAGAAAAACAGATATCAGTGTTGTGTAACTCATTTTGATCTTCAAATGTAAAGTAGTGCACCAGGCAAATCTTAATTATAGTATCAGTAGGACTAAAGTGAGTTATTAAAAACACTTGAATAAAAGCAAAATGGTCATTAATATAAGTAAATAAGGGATCATAAATCCATAAATTTAACTAGAATTTGCATCTCAGAATGCAACTCGGGGAAGCACAGTTTAGTTTTTTGTTTTTAACAACAGGAAAAACGATTTTTAAAGATTTCAAAAGTATTTAGAATGTACTTGTATAGAAATAAAACTTTGATATAATGGATTACTGTTTTTAGTCCAATAAAAAAGCTTGGTTTCTCATGAAATACATTTGCAATCATATTTTTCCAATGATCTACCAACTATTTTATCGTGAACTTTTTAAAATTTCTGAAACTTCTAGAAAACATAGGTTGTATTGCTTTTCTATTAGTTAAAAGCTATAAAATGTTAAAGAGGCTTAGACACAGATTTGAAGTTAATATTTTCTCAAATTTTCTGTATAATATCATGATTAAGTAGAAATTTTGTTGTGTATTAATGAAAAATATTAAACTACAATCCAGAAAATTCAGAGTAGAAATGTGAGAAAGCAAAACCAACTCACCAGTATTTTCAGTCCGTGCTCATTGATGTGTGCAGAGCTCAACAAATTGAACACACCCCTTGAATCGTAAACAATAACAGAGCTCGTGTCCCGTTTACAAAAACAGTTTACGTTTCACGGTGTGTTCAATTTGCTAAACTCTGCACACATCAGTGGGCACGGACTGACAATACCGGTGAGTTGGTTTTGCTTTCTCACATTTCTACTCTGAATGTTTTGGATTATATCTTTAATATTTTTTATTAAAACACAACAAAATTTCTACTTTTCTTAAGTATTAAGGATAAAGTTTACTTTGTGGAAGTGCAAGAATGTGTCAATCAAAAGCGTCCCGAAATTCGTAGTTTCAATAATTTCCAGATAAAATACGTTTTTTATTATATTCCGTGTGAAAGGCTATAACAACATATAAGTCATGATATTATACAGAAAATTTGAGAAAATATTAACTTCAAATCTTTGTCTAAGCCCCTTTAAAACTTAAATTTGATCACCAACTCTACTATTGCATAAACAACCGAACATAAATATGAATCTAATAAATCATTTTTTTTCCCAATAGAACCCATCAGAAAACAATATTTTTATTAATTTTTTATGCAACAAAAATACCAGAATTCTTGGCTGCGTTTCCAATATGGAAAATTAATGTATGTTTGTAATTAGTTTCTCTATTGGGAAAAACTCTTTTTATTTTCTTCACAGCTATAATCTGTCCCACATGAGTGCTTCCAACATATCTTATACGATTTCAAATAAATTTTAACTTGATTTCAAAGAAAATACCATTAAACATTTAAGTTTCATCATTTCCAAACCAATATTAGCCAGAATGGATGCAAACATATATGACATGAATTTTCAATGTTAATGTCAATTTTTGCTGTCAAGCGCGAAGGAAAGGAAGTTTTTATATCCATAGATATTCCTATTGGATCTATAATTTGATTTGAAAGTGTTCTTCATCATTGACGGCATGTAACGGTTACTCACAAATAATAGTATATTTCTTCCTTCAGTGGCGACCATTTTTTGTAATCTTAAATCCCTGTAGACTTTAAATTTGACTCTTGCTTCCGTGTTAATATACTAACTAAACTCATTGCTTACTATCATTGCAAAAAAAAATGGGAGAAAGTAAAGTTCATGACCCCTAGTGTCAGGGGTTCTGGTGTTAGAATGGGGCTTACGTGATTGCATAGTAAGAATGCTTTGTAAAAATGCATTAATTCTTTGAAAATCTCTGTTCCCGGGTATTAATGAAAAAAACTTAGTGCAATGATGCTTTTACTTAAATTGTCAAATTCATGATCCCTGGGTCAGGGGTTCTACTGTTAGGGCAGGGATCTTTTGATCATACAGTGAAAATGCATTAATTCTTTTAATTTTTTTTCTCTGCTCCTGGGTACAAAACAGAAAAACGAAGTGCATGGTTATGATAAGTAAGGGTGCTAAACCTAAATCGTGAAATTGCTGGCTCAAATGCTAGGGTTTCCGATGTTAGGATGGATCTCAAATGATCATACAGTGAAAAAATGCATAAATTCTTCGAAAAACTTCTCTCTCTCTCTCTCTCTCTCTCTCTCTCTCTCTCTCTCTCTCTCTCTCTCTCTCTCTCTCTCTCTCTCTCTCTCTCTCTCTCTCTCTCTGTATATTTAGCAGGCAAACTGTGTGCATGGTTATGATAAAGGGGGATGCTTCAGGAAATTCATGGTCCCTGGGTCAGCATGCAGTTCAGATATTAGGGCAGGACCTTATTGATCATATAGTGAAAATGCATTAATTCTTTGAAAAATCTCTGCTTCTGGGCATCTAGCAGACAAACCAAGTACATAGTTATA